AAAGGGGGTTCACATTTCTTCTCACTCAGGCAAGAAGGTTAAGTGGCCACAGCCCAGCTATGCTGTACTTGGACTAGCATCAGTTAACCTACAAGTATCAGTGAACGTGAAGTCGTAAGCATCATGTGCCTTGGTAGGATGTTGTTTATACCAGGTAGTTTCTGCTACATCTTGCAGGCATGTTCAAGTGAGTTCAATGGCAGACCTGATCTATAAAACTGGATAAGGAAAGGAATAGAATGCATTGGCTCAGGCTTGGCCAGCAGTTCACATGGCTTCAGGCTTGGTCAGCGTCTGGACAGAACTTGGTAAACTCCACCTGGGCTCTGATCTACATTTGCCTTTTCACAAGACGGTGTAGATAAGCAGATTCCATATCGAAGTCCAGTCAAGTCTGTTTTTTTATGGTACTATTGGGCCTTATGCTTTAGGAGAGGGTACACAAGGTCCCTTTTCTTACCTTTTGTCATTTTCAGTTACTTCTGGGATGCTTAAATTCATTTCAGTCCTTCACCCACCCTGGGTACCCCTTTTAACTGCTTCTGGGAGAACTTAGCACCTGAAAACATGAATTCCTTTTGTGCATGGTCACTGTCTGAAAGGATATGATGCCTACTGCTAAAATCCACAGGACTGTCACATATTGAGGGGGTATTTTTTCAGGATACAAAGCTTCCAAAGCATTCCCTTAAGTGAAAGTCATGGTGGTAGGGCATGAGATTAATTTTGCTTGGCTTCTTGGATGAGGCTGGATAGGCTGCTACCATTAGAATGATGGAAACTCACTGATGAGATCTCTGCTGGGGAAATCCCTGCTAAATAACTAGTGGGAAGGTGTTCAGAGCACACCCTCAGGAGGTTATGGCTCTGCAGTCTTCTCCTGTTGGCTGGCCTCTGTCAGGCATCCGGACTTGGAGAGCATCTGTAAAGAGACAGTCTGCGTGTGACTAAATAGATAAAAAAATGCTAGTATACTCTTTTGTTTACATTAGTTAGCCATTTGCCAAGGACTGAAATTGGAATTGTAAAGATTACCAGATTTCTGACAATGTTGATTTTCAAAACTCTGCACTGTTCCCCATGGATTATGTCCTTCCGTTCTGATTCTCACCTTCCTTTTTTCTGGCTGGATGAGATTTTGCTATTTTGCCCGCTTTGAAGTTTTCTCACCCACTTTTGTTAGTCAAATGGTTAGGAAATAGGAGTTCAAACATGGTCTTATTTGGGATATGACCATCATTTCAGGCTGTCATAAGGGTAATAGGTCAAGGAAGCAAATCTTGGCCATGTATGAGCATGACTAAACTAGCACCCATTACTCCAGGCTAGAGGATGTCACGTTTTTCTGGGTAGAATGAGGGTGGGGGGCAATGATACAGTGAGCTTTAACTTTACTGTTGATAGCAGTGCAGTTCACATTGATCTGTATCTGTCTGAGAAGGTGGCAAAGCAAACTTTTAGAGCAGCTTTATGTATTTCCATTTCCCATCTTTGAAATTGCTAATCTAATTCTACTCAATGCGATTTTCAGTAGAACTGCTCTGTTGAAGTCATTGGTCAAAATGGGTAATAACTTTCTGGAGTCAATGAGCAAGACGACTACTTTGTTTCGGTATACGTGCTATGCTTTGAGGTCTTCCCATAATTCTGAGATATCGGAAGGCTCTGAAATACTCCCATGAAGTCTTTAATTTTCTTTAGAGCTCTGATTGGGCATTGCGTTATTGTGCTACCCTAGTTTGGAAAATATATTTGCTGGCATGATAATAGTTTTACAACAAAAACTTTCTATATAATTACGCCATGCCGTTATCACAAATAAAAATGCAAACAGCATGCCAAGTTTTGACAGAATTGTTACGTACATCTCCTGGAAACTGAATGTTAGTTGGTTTAATTGTCTGTAAAAGCATCTTGTTTAAGTAGTATAATATTTTTATGGAAAAATGTGGCATGGCCTAAAAGTATGCTCCATCATAATTTTCTTTTTCTTATTAGATTGTGGAGGGAATGAAGAAGAATAAATGGAGTATTGAGAATATTGCCTTTGGATCCGGTGGAGCTTTGTTGCAGAAACTAACCAGAGATCTCTTAAACTGTTCCTTCAAATGCAGTTACGTGGTGACCAACGGTCTCGGGGTATGTCTTTGTACCGCTTCTACCATCATGTTTTCAGTAGAGGCCTCCCCACTTGAAAACCTGTGTGACGTTTCCTATTACATTACCACCATCTGCATTAGGTATACAAGCCTCACAAAGCCCTTTCCTTCAAAAAAAAAAAACACAAAACTTTTCATTTTAGGTAAACGTCTTCAAGGATCCGGTTGCTGATCCAAACAAAAGGTCAAAGAAAGGCAGACTGTCGTTGCATAGGACACCTGCTGGAGATTATGTGACGCTTGAAGAAGGCAAGGGAGATCTTGAAGAGTATGGACAGGTAGGAATTTACAAAATGGATGACATGGTTCTTCATGCAGAAATAGACTGAGAAAAAGCAGGTTATAACTTAATTTCAGAATTTATTTTTTATTGTCTTGTTCAACTCCTGTCTTGTTACCTCAGAAGTGTCCCCGGTACCAAGCTCAGTAAGAGTAGAATGTTAGAATGCCATAGAACATTCAGGCTTTATAATTAGAGATCTTTCTCTTTTGTTTGTCTTCAGAAACAAGAAAACATTGCTGTTTCTTCCCAAAATGTCTCAGTGTTGCAGAATATATGCTAGCCAAGTAGTTTTGTATGGGCTGTATTGCACAATTTGAGTAGTGACCCAAGTTGGGGGTGGGAGAGGGACAGACGTAACTGTAATTTGTTTCTACTTCCCTAATGAGATTTTTAAATAGTTCCTTCAGGTGTTAATGCTCTGTACGTGTAGTAGTTGCCCGGTTTTCGAAGATGTAAATTTAAATCAGGAATTCATTTCCCTGTTAATTCTTCACAGTTGCAAAATGAAATGCTATTTCACTAAAATAAGCACAAACTTTATGCCATCAGGCTTTCAGTTTGATCTCTCTTATGTTTTCAGTGTGCAAGCAATGAAATGTTTAATTGCATATTGAGTCTTTCCCTGAGTTAAGAGGATTGAAAATAAGTTATCAAATTGCACTTCAGCCTTTAGAAGCTGGAAGTTTCTTGAGTTTTCTGGTATACAGAAGGACATTTTTGTGCCCCTAGGCAGAAGGGTGCTACTAGGCATGCTGTTTTGTGCAACAGTAAGCATAAAACAGAGATCTCTCAGAGATTTCAAGACAGAAAACAAACAGAGTTATAGACACTGTAGATAATGTGCTCTGGTTGTGAAAACCTAAGAAAAAAGACTTTAAGTTATATATACACATATGCATGTATATGTGTTTGTGATGAACATTCATGTGTGTGTTTGTGCATGTAGAGAGGGAGGGACCTAATGGTGAGAAAGCTATTCAGAACAGATCACAAGTCTGTGGCTCGGAGATTAGGCAATATATAGTTCCTTCATTTTTGACAGGTGAAGTAATTCATTAAGAAACTCTCTGTCCTGTCTGGGATATCAGAGTGTGTATCTATGTGGTACAGGTCCTGGAGCTCCCTGGGGAATGAGGGAAATGTGCTCCTGTGGGCTGTGTCCCTGCAGCCGCAGGTCCTTGCAGTAGGTCATCAGGCACAGCAACTGCTCAACATCAGTTGTGTGCTAACTTTGCTGTAAAAGCCATGCTTACTGCTCCTCCAGTGTGCTGTTCACAAGCACTTCTTGGTGCACCATTTTACAACATAGGTGTGCAAAGGGGACTGCAGAGAAAGATTCCCCCCCCCAGTTGCTCGAGAGGAAATGAAGACTTGATTTAAACCTCTGCAACTGAATTGTATTTATCTGGTTGATCGTCTCCTTTCTTCTTGGCTGTTCTGGCAGGGTATATTTGGCATGTGTGCTTCTGGCTTTGGCCAGGTGTGGACAACTCATTGTAGGGACTACTTGGCACAAAGCTTCTGTCCGTGCACGGGATAGCCTAAATCCTTTCTTCTGCCTAACCTTTAGTGAAAGGTGTTAGAAGCAGCAGTAAAGATTCAGTATCTTGCCAGTCTGAAGCTCTACCAGGCTTGATTTGGGTGCTCGCTTTTGAGTTTGTGTAACCTGTGGTGTTTGTTCATTTGCCGTATCGCCCTTGCTAAAGCAGTGGTGTTTCTTGCAGGATCTCCTCCATACAGTATTTAAGAATGGAAAGGTAACGAAGTCCTATTCATTTGATGAAGTAAGACAAAATGCCAGGCTGAAGAACAGTGAACTTGAAGTGGCGTCTCACTAAGTTTCATTCCACGTCTGTGTATGTGTGTGTGTAACAAGTATGTACTGCATAGCTACTGGGTTTATTGTACAGATTTGTGTGTTTGTGTTTTATGACATTGTAGCCAAATTATTTGTTGGTTTATGGACATACTGCCCTATCTTTTGCCAGTCTTTAGAAAAGATGAAATCCGGAAATGGTACTTACATTGTAAAACATATTTAATGCTAAAGTGTGCTTTTTAGGGCCCTTTGCCAGTAGTGATTCAATCTGGTATTGATCTTTTCACAAATGAGACAGAGCTGAGAAACTTTTTTATATATAACAGAATATCACAAAATGGATTTACATAAAATTATCATGATTGCTTTATGTTTATATTTAACTTGTATTTTTGTACAAACAAGATTGTGTAAAATATATTTAAAGTTTCAATAATTAAGTCTTTCCAACTTTTCATGATTTTTATGAGCACAGACTTTCAAGAAAATATTTGGGGGGGAGGGATCCATTGCCTTTTGTCCATTAATCAGCAAATAAAACATGGCCTTAAAGTTTGTTGTGACATTGTACCATTTGACGACTGAATCAGGACTCGTATCTCCTTAAGATCCCATAGAATTGCTGACCTCACCATTTCTTGTAGTTGTCTGTATTAGTAAATCGACATAAAAGAAAGTTACTGTTCTTACTAGAAGGTTTAGGTACTACAGACCTTGCTGGCACTGTAAGGTATGTGAATGAAATGCCAAATTTGAAAGGATTCTCTACTGCAACTTAACTTGCCAAGTCTATCCCACTTGGCATATGCACCTCAATATTTTAAGAGTAAAGTTTTTAAGAGATCTCCTCTTCCACTATAGAATATATGTGTAAAATACTGAAATATGGAAGCGGTGTATTTTAAAGTAATTACACTTCTGGGTTTATTTTTCATATACTGTAAGTGACATGACTTTAAAGCAAAATACTGGACTGGGTAGTGCACTTTTTTACTTTTTTGTATTTTTTTCATTGATTTGCCTTTTGTCAGACTGGATGTTAAATTGTAAAAATGTTTAACTATTTTTGTTAACAACTTTAATAAAACTTTATGCTAGCCAAACTCCTACATGAATGGCAGACCTGTTTCCCCTTCTCGCCCTGTCTCACTGGGGTGAGGAGAGGGGCTTTTCTTTTGCAGAGGGTAACTGTAAAACAATAGGGTTTGAGAGATACTTCTGAACTGTCTGCACTTGATTGTATTTGCTCTCTGCATATGCTTGATTTTAATATCTGCTGGAAAACAAAACTGTTGAGGATTTTATTTGAGAAGCTATGTAGTAACCTCTGAAGCATTTGGTAGTACTGTAGGATGGCTCTCACTAGAAAAGTACCTCCCTTAAAAACAAAAAACAACAGCAAAAGCAAATGGCTCCTGTGTTATGCTGGTTATCAACTATCAGCCGATGGCTTACTGATGTAATTAATGCTTCTAATTAGTAAATGGTGTTACATAAAAATGCTAGGGGTCCTCTAAAATAATTTAAGCCTACAAAAGTTTATAAAACATGCTTTTAAAGGAAGATTGAAAAGCCATACTTCATTGTTCTTATTCTCTCACCAAAAAGGGCCAGATCAAAGCACCCATGATATTTCCAGGGTTTGTGGTTAAGACAGTTATGCCCAGTCTCAATAGTTCTTGTTAATAAAAACCTGTTTTCCACTTGTAGTGTATGTAATTATACATTTAAGTGATGTATTGTTTCAAATATAGTGCTTTAGTAAGACTCTTAATGCTGACCTTCCACACTGAGGAACTGCCTTCCCTTTGCTGTTAATGATACTGTTTGTATTTGGCCAGGAAAGATCTTAAATCTGGACCTAGGATCAGTAGCAGGTAAATAGTACAGAGCCTATTTCACTCCTCCACATGTGTACTAGGGAATTTTATGATGTATGGTTTAAAAAAAACAATAAAGTAAATGCTGCTTTCATTCTGTACCAATAAAAATTTTGATAACTATTGACTACCCATAACTGATATTTTTGTACTTGAGAACTGAGGATATACTGTGGAAGCACTGTTTTCTTGTGTACCATGAAATACATTAGTGATTGCTCGGTATTGTCTGAAACTCCTAGCTTACTAGTTGGAGACTTGAAGCAAATTGTCTACTTGTGCATGTCACTTTCAGAAAGTTGTCACATCACTCATTTTATTAAATGTTAATATCTTTAAAAGGAAAAAAAAAAAAAAAAGAAAAAGAAAAACACCTGGTGCTATTCAGACCTGAATACATGTCTCTGTGTTTGGTGGTTTGACATTCTGGCCATCAGGGAGTTGACAGAAATTACTGCAGTGCTTGAACCATACAATATCCTAATTCTTCCACATGAAAGCAAACAGCATGTTTAAGTTTGCTTTAAATTACTAGATTTGTAGTCATTGATATATTTTAATTATCCCCATTTCATAATATAATACAGTATTTGTATTTAAAAATAGGAGTTGGGAGTTTTGTGTTAATACTCTTATTTGTAACCACATTTAGCATAAGAAATGGATTTTATAAGACTATTTTTTTTTTCTTGAGATGCATGATTATGAAAAGATGCTTTTTTGGTACTTTGAAAGATCTGAGGAGAGAACAGAAGAGTACTTGACTGTTTGATTTGCCAAAATCAAAACAAAGCTTAAACAGTTTTTTCTTATAGGTTTTTACATTCCTTCTTAACCTGTTTAGTGAAGAATAAATATTCCTCACTTAAATCCTCTGTTAAAGTAATTTTAATGTACTTGGCATCAAATACCGGTATGTAATACACATGGAAATAAAGTTTAGTTCTGGCAGTGAAAATAAGAGCCATCTGACTCTGTCTTAAAGTTGCGATGTTGGGCATCGGATGTCATTCCTGTGCTCTGCGTTGCCAAACAGGGGCTGGAGCATAGCTGTGCCGTTGCTGCAGCCCCCGGTCGGAGGGGGAGAGCTGCTCGGCCGGCTTGCACGCTGTGCGTGGTTACGTGATCGAATTTGCAGTCAGGGAAGAGAGGAGGGTGTTGTTTAGGGCGTGAGCACATCTGTGCTTCGGCATCTTGCCTGCTGGCGCTTAAAAATGAAGCACTCGTAATTGAATTTGATATAAGGAATTATCCTCTACTTATATTTCACTTAATCCTTTCTCAAATAAAGATTCGTTGTTTAAATGTTACCTCTGAAGTTACTAAAAATGCTTGTTTTAAAGCAAATTAACCAAAGATCTTGCAGCCTTCAGTTCACTTCAGCATCTGTCAAAAACTGCCAGCTCTTGAACAGGGAGAACGTCTCCTGTCCCTTTGGCCAGGATTTTTGTTACTGGTAGAAGTTAAACTTTTTAACTCCTACATAACTTGAAATTGCAGAGGATACCTTGCAAACGCAGACCCTGTTAGTATGGGGGTATAAGGCATCTAGTGTAAAGATCATTTACTGTCACTTGTTGCTGGTCCCTTCAAGTCATACTGTAATGTAAAGGTATGGTTCCTGTAGCCTACAATAATTGCTTTTTAGTACTTAAATTTGTATGTGTTATGAATTTAAAGTCTCTGTTACATTATCTTCACAGAGAACGTGCACAGTCTAAGTGGCAGGCCTCTTCCTCCTCCTTTCCATGCTGCTAAAAACCTCCAGCTACAACATTCCAGCTTTTCTCACTCTAATCGGCCTTTCTGCAAGTTGAAAGTGGTTATTAACAGTGAGTGTGGGGTGGTAGGCTCCCAGCTCATCACACAAAGGAGTCTGCAGGGAAATTCCGGGCCTCAGACTGTGCAGGAGAAGGCAAGGGACTTGCAAATGTGTCTTTATTTGTCCTCTAATTCTACTGTAATAAATAAAATAATATCTGTGCTGAGCTGCTTGAGGCAGGAACTGTGAGGATGCCTCTGAGCGATGGTAATTGCATCTCTACCTGGTAACGTATTGGGGGGGGGGGGGGG